ATTATTCTCCCCGAAGAACCGTTCATGAAACCCATGGAGCGAAGGAAACTAACGAGATCCTAGGTGGTGCAAAGAAACTTTTGGCTATGGGATTTGGCACTACAGCTAATTCAACGTATGTCGTCGCCCACCTCGCAAGTCTCTACGGAACGTATCGTTTGACACCTGCATAGCTTCGTCCCCGACTTCGATAGCTTGTGCAATGCCTCACATCCAGACGTGAGAAGCTGCATCTTTTGGCGTGGAGGAGTGTTTTCTCCTGATAAAAGTAGCACATGGGTGAAAGATGATCGAACAAAATATTATAACGGGTCAGCTTCGAATGAAGGATGGGATTATCTGAATGCAGAGAATTACAAGGGTTCGAGGCCAGAAAAATGCTACGATATGATGGGGGCAATCTCTAACTCTGGGTGTTGGTGTTAGATCGCGGTGACGATCCCATAGCATCGTTTACCAGAGGATGGGATACTGTCGATCTTGGAAAAGGCTCACTATACTCTTTTCCATTTTCGGTCATCGATAATAGCAGCTTTCCATTTGGGTAAGGGATTCCATAGAATTCCGCGTTTCGTTCGTGGGCATTGGCTGACTAGAACAGAACTGGTATGGTTGGGTATGATTCTATCTTCTTCTAGTATTTGAAAGCAGATGCTTTCTTTGTCCTTCGAGGCAAATAAAGACTATTCCGTGTTAATTGTGCATTTTAGACTGGCAACCGACTCCGTATTTCTTAAAAATGTCGTCGAATCAGAATTGGCGCCGTCGAGATCATGGGGCTTTGATTATGGCAGGGTTCAAAACAACGCGGATCAACCTGGCGAGCTTGTACTTGGAGGATACAACCCCGCGCTAGCCACCTACCAAGATTTTACAAACTACACTGTCTTCCCGAATAAGAGTGCACCATGCCCGCTCCAAGTGGAAGTAGAAGGGATGAAATGGGGTGACCATGATCTGATGGCCAATGGTCAAAGTAAGCGGACTGCGTTTCTCACCAATGAAGTGTTTCTAATGAATGGTCTATAGAAAGTTTCATGGCCTGTGTCGAACCTGCTTATTGGACTATGATCTTACCATTGCAGGTCCAAAGGAACTGGAACAACTCCTTAATTGGCGACTATGGTTACACGTGGTGGAAGCATACCTGGGAATTCCTATACTTGAACAAGACCAATGGGATTGCCGACTTTCCGGACATTGATATGGAGATTACACTCAGCAAAGGCTTCAAAGTCAAAATCCCGAAAAGCGAATTATACCGCCAAGCGGTGCAAATCAATGCAACCAGGGGAGGGTGGGACCCAATTACAGGGGGTAGGTCTTACTGTGTATTGAAAGTTACTGGAACTCAGCTGATAATGTCTCAGATAACGATACTATACAAGTGAACATGGGTACAGCAGCATTTCCCCCGGATACAGAACCGAAACTCCCCTTCCTCGGCGGGCCGTTTTTGAGTCAGGTTTACCTTGCTGTCGACTACGAAAACAATGTCTTTTCGCTCGCCAATACGAAGCGTGATTCCACATCCGCACAGCCTCTGAGAGCGCTTGCATGCGACAAAACGAATGTTACAACCAGTGCAAGCTCAAGTCCAAGCAAAAACAATACGGGAAAGATCGTTGGCGGGGCAGTCGGTGGTGCACTTGGTCTCATCGCCATCGCTGGGCTGATATTCTTCTTCATTTTCCGGCGACCAAAGCAAACGGAACCCGTTCAACCCAGTCCGGAGCAAGGGATAATTATCAGCGGCGACAAGAAGGATGACGATGTACCTCGATATACCTCGCCGTTCTCTCCTTACGGGGCATATCCGCCTCCACCGCCGCCAGAGTCTGTAACAAGTGCGGGTTCGCCATATCCTTACCCGCAGAGCCACTACAGCGGCACAGCAACATGGGCGACATCGCCACCACTGCCACCACAGCAACTAGCTGCTAATGCAAGTGAACGAGGGGATGCGGCAGAGTTGGGTCCGGGATCACCACTGATTGAGGAGACGCCGATGGGGACGTTAAGTTCAAACCCTGCACATCGAGGAGATATGGTACATACGCTATAATTATAATGTTTGGGAGGGCGCGCCACGGTGTCTGGGGTTTATCTCTAATTTGTTGGATTTTGATTTTGTTGGCTACTTTTCGAATTCCTTTGTTCAATATTTGGGATGCGATTAACTAGGAGTTTGCTTTTTTCTTTGAGGGATACATGTATTATGAACAGAACGGGGTCTGGTTCGGTAAGGAAGGAATGGGCTGGTCTGTTGATGTTGGAGACAGGGCCCATCATCGAAAAATTAAGCAGCGGATTTTTGTGCAAAGATAATTCATCAGGAATCATCACCCGCATGGCTAGTACAATCAGAAATGAAACTCGAGTCTCGCCTGAAATTCTGTACAGTTACATCGAATGAATGTTATGCATCCGTATGAAAGAAACCTGCAATGTCGATCTACAGAGGCTTCCCACCTAAATCGATACCCAGTCATATAACGCGCTAGGGGAATTGTAGACGTGGTATTCACAGATTGTCACTCGTCCCATCTTTTGCTATCTAGGATCGTGCTAGGCACTAATTGCTTGGACTAACCTCGTTACCCCCCAATTACTTGAAGTTTGAGTAGAAAATATAGCACTGAATCGAAGCGCTAAGGATGTTATGATTTTCTACGAAACATCATCGCCATAACTGAAGGTCTCAAAACTAGGACTCAGGAGTCTCACGTCAAAACTTTATTGACCGGACTCTCAGTAATACTCATGTCAAAGGCTAAAGAACTCGGGTTGACTCTCATGGCGTTCGACCGGCTCAGGCTTCAAGGCCGAGCTCGCCCGCCACTAGTCAAAGTTTTTTGATAGCTTAAACCTTAAATTTCCCCTACAGTGTGAAAATGAAGCAGCAGCGCCTGGAGTCGAACCAGGACCTTTAAGAATACGATAATAATGCCGTTTTCTTAACGTGCTAACCATTGCACCACGTCGCCTTGGGATATTTGAGTAGATTTTCATAGAATCATGACATCAAAAACAAGTGAGGGAGTGTGATACAGTAATATCATCCCTAGATACTTAAGTACATCGGACATTCCTTGACCGGAGCTCGTGTTCGAGGACCAAGGTTCTCAGGCCGATTCGCAGTCACTCATGGTGTTCGAGCCGGCTCAGGTTCCAAGGCTCTCAGCACATGCCCATCACTAGCGTCAAGTCATCTCGAAGGTGAAGCACCTAGTAACGATTCTGGTGACGATGTATTCTTCCAGTATATATGATGCAAATTCTAGTCCGTAATCGATAGATTTCGGCAACTAGTGCAAAGGGATCGATTCGAGGGAGAGGATGTAATCTGCAACAGGAATGTTAGTACAGCCAAGAATTTGGGCAGTTACGCGGTTTTGTCCGTCTCTCATTGAGCTCTTCTCCAGAGCCAAACAACTTTGACTGTCTCCTTCATCGGACCCATTGATAGATAATAATTCAACCATACGACGAAAGTGTGCGGTGGCGGTTTCGTTATTCCCGTAGCTCACATTCAGTTGTGGACAAATTAAAAAACCTGATGACTCACAGCCCCCCCAAAGTTTAATTGCCCCATAGATTGAGCAAAAAAGAAACGGCCCTGCACAGATTCGAACTGCGACCTTGTAAATATACTTTAGATGTCATTATATCGTAAAGATACCCCACGTGCAAGCCATTACACCACGGGGCCGTTGGATGTTTGGTATGTGCTTGACTTGAATATAGCGTGAACTTAGAGTTTGGAACTGGTGTGGGAAGGAGAAGAATGATGACTTGTGTTCTGTATTTCTTCATCGCCCCGGATTGCTGCCACTGGCTTGGGCTTCATTCTGTGTAGCCCATTGACGCTCGTGATAGTCATGGACACCGGATACGTAGGTACGGAAATTTGGGCGAAGGGAGTATTGAAGTGATCTGCTAGGCCTGGCGAGGTTTCTGATGGTCTTCCGCATCAAGACAATTCCCTAATTCGTTTTACAGGTCTTGTGTAAGCTTTGCGGGGAAGCAGAGACATGCTCATAATCTCTCCAGATCACTACCCAACTCCCGACCCTTCATCCTTTGTAACCGTTACTCTCATAGCATCCATTTCCTGTGACGACAGATGTGGAGGAGTTTTACTCGTACTTGCGTTCGTGACTCTCTAAAATGATCACCTCACACTTCCTTCCGCACGGAACCTAGCACCTCCCGTAAATCCTGCATGTCAGCCTCGCCGAAGGCGTACAGCTGCTGTTTGCCAATTGCTCCCTATCTTTGTTCCGTCGCATACGGGGAGGAGAGGAGACGATATTTACTACGACATGTGGCGAGGTGTGTGGAAGGTATGGGGTTCGTTTTGGTTGTGATTCGAGGTATTTGGTGGTTGAGGGAAGTGAATTCGTGGCGAGTTGATACTGAGAGATGCGGAGTGCTCGGCGCAGAATTCTCAAATCGCATCGTGGAAGTGATCAACTTTCTCGCAACCAGCAACACCCCGATTCAATGTCGACACACCACTTCTCGCCTCTTCAGCACCGAGGTGTGTTTAAATGCTTCAACATCCGATGAAACACCTTCACGAATCACGATTCAAAGAAAGCTCTTTCTTCCTCGACAGCGCGTCCTTCGCATCAGTTTTTACAAATTAGAACCGGGAATCTTGTGCTTCTCTCCTGGCAGTATCCACCGAACAGCCGTAGAGTGAGAGGATGTTCAATACGTATTCTCTCCCACCAACTTCTCCTCAAGCAGCGCTCAAGAAGTTACAAACTAGACCATACCCCCGCCAACGAGAAGTCCCAGAAAAACACCAAAAGCAAATCTATCCAAAATCCCTCTGGTTAGCTTATCTATTCCCTCGTATCTATTCCCTCGTATCTAGTCCCCAGGCGAAATCCCTATCTTCAAGCGTGATCCAAATCACCTGGCTCCTTAGACTCAAACCTCATCCTTCCCCTCCCGAACCCCCCCTTCCAGAGCAGCAACAGAAAAATAAATGGCTCTGCACAGATTCGAACTGTGACCTCTCAAATATACTTTAGATAGCATAGATCTCAAATATATCACCCAGTGTGCAAACCACTACACCACAGGGCCCTTAGGATGTTTGGTATGTGTTTGACTTGAGTAAGAGCTAAAAATCCTTAGGCTCGCCACCACCGCCACCACCGCCCCACTTCCATTTTCTTCTCATACCATGTAGCTCATTGATGATCGGTGTAGTCGTTGACGTAAGTATGTTCTTGCAGCGAAGGCGAAGGGCATTAAGATGTGTGCGAGTTTTAGTTAGAGTAATATTGTAAGCGTCCATCATGGGAGCCTTCATCATCGTCGTTCTCTAATGCACTAGCATAAGTTTTGCAGGAGAAGATGTGGATGTGAACTTGTTCGCAATCCCGCCATGTCACCACCCCACTCCATCATGACCCTACTCCCCCACCATCTCAAAGGAGACCAATTTCGCGATGTGTGTGTGTGGGCGTCACCATTGCACCGACTTCTCCGCAGAGGCATACCTGTGTTTTTCGAACTTTCCTGTTTAAGTGGCAGCAGAGTTCGCCGGAACGATACTTTCCGCGGTGGGTTAAGGAGGTGCGTGATAGATATGTGGTGGGCGTTGAGTTTAGTTTTGGTGATGATTGGTGGTTTGAAGTGTTTGGTTCGCATGTTCTACACCACAAAGCAGGTGAATAAACGAACCTCCATCACTTACTCAACCTACAAAGACAGAAAGCCCCGCCCAGTATCGACCCTTTCCACCGAATCACTTCTTGCTTCTTATACGAGTCTGAAGTACCTCCACGATTCAAAGCAGAATGCTCTTCTATTCACCTCCCTCGGTGCGTCTCTGCAACCGGAAATGTCAAGCCTCTTTTGAACTGATTCACTCAACCCGCTGTTGTGATATGATATCTATGATGGTTCTTCTGCAGAGTTAGTTCTCGAGATGCATCCCGGCCGTTTTTTTCGGCGCAAATCTAGTACACTTGCAACAACCCATGACCACTAACGGAATCCACTCCCAGCAATTCCGTTCGTCAAAAAGCCCCCCTTTTCACAATAGCATCTCTTCTGGCGGCGTAATTATGCTCACTACTAAGTATGCACTGGCGCATTGATCCGTTCCCATCGCTGGACAGGTTGGTCAAAGGTGCATCGCCTGAAGTGAATAATTCATCACGGTCACATAACAACACACACGTGACGTATCCCGTCACCACTAATGGCTCGGTCAAAGGGAATTCCAAACGATCACTACCGTTTGTTAAAGGATAAAGGGAATAGATTTTGGAATCATATAGCGTGAATACGTCAATGATGTGTATCAAATTCACAAGATTGCACATTTCCAGTTTTTAACTGTACACATCAATTAACAATATTTTGTTCCCGTTCCAGGTAGGAGGGAGAGATAGACTGAAGACTGCGTATCAGTGAATTCAGTTTTACGCCATGTGCGCTTTGGGAGGCGGAAAGAAGGGTACTAAACTTACCAGTATACCGCTAACAGTATAGAATTTCAGACTCACTCTCCAAGCAATACCCACCTCCAGCACATATAATATGCCACCTGAATCACAAAGATGGCTGCAATTGGTGGCGACGAATTTTTTTCACGAAACCCCGTTGGGCAAAACAGATGGGCCCAGGACTTTTTCGTCATGACGATGGGGAGTTTGAACCCATCACGAAGGCATCACAGAATCCCAAGGACTTGTATGTTTACCTCCACGTAGTGGGCAAAGACTTTCCTCGATACAGAACTCTATAGCCCCCAGAAACTCACCAGTCATCATAGAATCTCACTCGTATAATCTCATCTCTTCGGCTTGAGCATGTTGACGTCCCGCGCTACAAATACGATAAATGGCTTGGGATCCTACATCATCCCCCATCCCTTCTTCATTTATCCCCACTATACACCTGAACCCCCCGCCGTAGCGTCCAAACGTAAACGGTTCCATGCTTACAATTTCTTTCTTTCTTCTCAGGCATATCTATCCTCCACTGTAATCTGAGCTTACACATTGATCATAACATGACCTCAATAACCCCAGCCAAGCGTGTGGGGCCCACCGGATCAAACAAATGTTTGCAATAAGGATGACGAATTCTCCCTTATCTTTTCGACGTCACTTCACCGATCCTTCTCGTCATGAAACAATTTGCTGCGGCACTGGATACCCACAAATTGAGGCACAATCATGGATTCCGTATTTCCATCCGTATACCTGATCCCACTCGGACGCATAATTGGGATATATCGCAATGCAATGAGCACGTATCCGCACGTTTTGCCTTGGGCGAGTTTGTTTGGTTGGGCGTTTCAGACGCGCCGGGTGAGGCCGGCGAAGTGAATAGAATGATCAATAATGCTGGATTCATAGCATCAACGACAGATACCATTGCGGTCCTTCTCTCTCGGCGCCTACATTCTCAGCGCCTTATTTCCCCATTCTCCCCCATGTCTAGGCGTTGAATGAAATCAATGCAATCACATGCACTGAAGTCAGGGCTTACAACTCCGGCCCGCCGTGCCAAAATTTACAACAGTTGCAAGCTCGGCCTGCAAACAAATTATCAAAAAAGCGAAACAAAAGATAGGCTCCGCGAGAGAGAGAGTGTGTGTGTGTGTAAGGGAGAGGCGTCTCTCCCTCTCGCCAGGCACCTAAAACCTTGTCTATAGGATTGGTTGCTCCCGGTAAACCAAATTTATGCATGTCCGCATACGGAACACCCTGCAGCAGAATCTCGACTAAGATCGCATGGCATGGCATGGTATCCGTCCGCGTGCGTGATTTCCACGTTGCTGTCCATGTAATATGCACGACTACGGTATGCCTTGCCGCGACACTTCACGGGGAATGGGGTATATCGAAAACCTCAACCAACCCCTCTGCTGCAGCGAACTCAATCTAGCATAGAAGTCCACACTGAATTATTTCCCGAGAGAATACTATCCAATCCAACCCAAACCCCCACAGATACCCCACCTACCCAGGTCCATTCCCAGGTAAGCGTCGTGCATAATCCATCGGTCCCAAACCCAGTCATACGGCAAATTTTCACGGGAAAAGTGAATTTGGCCGGGCTTTTGCCGAACGCCCGTCTTTAAGTACGTACAGGCGAAAGGTGATTTTGGAGGATGGGAGGATGAACATGAGGGGGAGGTGGAGATAAGCTTCGGCCCGCACCCTGCGACGCGGCTCTGCGGGAAATCTATATTGATTTATATTACACTAACTGCTTCTGGTCTTTCAATACCCGGGATAGTTATTAAAGAGATATAGGAGATAGAGGCTTGATGGGTTGTAGAATCTAAACTCACGAGAGTGCGATCGTCCATTAGGTGATTGGTAAGAGACTATATAACTGACCAGCAAGTGCGTATGCTATTGGATGTCCAGACATCTGTTGCCCAAGGCAAGGCGAGCGCTTATGGAGTGTATACCGGTACCACCCAAATAATCGCATACGCGCAGCACGGTGGCGAGTCTCGTATCGTGAATTTCTTAGCAGATACATTATTACTTCAGTAGTTTCCGAGCGCATCCGGCAGACGAAAGCGCAAGTTGATGGGAAATCCAATGGAAACAAAAGTTCCTGTATTAAGACTCCTATAGAATGTACGTCAACGGCGTAATTACCTTATTTACCTTACTTGCCAGGATAATACGGGATATACCCAGAACCAAGAACCAAGAACCAAGGACCTACTGACCGACCTCGGAAAGAAAGAAAGAAACCAACAGTTATGCACCGTGCAGGCGTGGAGGGGAGATATTCTTAAGCTGAAGCTCCCTCCATTTATTGGTGTACGTGCTAAAAGAAAGAAAGGATGACCATGTGCCATAAACGAACAACTGTGTTGGTAAAAAGTTGAGCGGTGTGAAGAGGAAGAGATGCGAATTGCCTTTGGTTCTTCTCTTTACTGCACATGGGTTATCTGATGTTCAATTAGTTTCAATTCAGTACTGAGGTGATGGACAAATCCTTAATCTTACCCGCAAAAGAATGAAAAATAATGGCCCTGCACTTCAACTATGAACATATGGCATTCAGCAATGTGATGATCTCAATCAAAAATCACAGGACTCAAGAAATGAGCATCACTTACCGCAGCGCTACCATGATGCCGAATAGCCCCCATTATCCAACCCGCCAAAGGTTTTCCACACTCGTCATGCATTCAGCACAAACAACATCCCATTCCTTCTTGCTTAAAATAACCGAAGCTTCGACCTATGAATCTAGATCTATCCTCGCAACAATTGGCCAACAGCATTCGCCGGTGTCAATGCATGTCGACGGTCCATTGTGCACTTTACCTATAAAACATCAAGTATAAGTGCCGATTTATAATTAAACATACAGATCCGCGGACAGCCTAGGAGTGCGTTATCAGCATTGGCAAATCCACATACCGGGTGACATGAGGAAACAGAAGTTGGATATCTATTTCTAGCGGTAAATGACAGGTGTAATAAGCCCCATTTGGGTTCGGTGTAGTGCATTTGTAACGGCGTTGTTCCGCAGCCGACATGATAATATCCTCGCATGATGTTCCCTCGTGGAAAATCAGTCTAGACGTGCAAGCCACAAAAGCCCGACTTCCCCGTTGTAGACGATGACAGACGCCCACGGTGAATGGAGCTATCACATTTGGTATTCCGGAAGATGTCTGGTGGCGTATGCAGTTAATGCGGATGCAATGTAGATAAATTTTAAAGTCAGCTGTTCAGTAGCTATCGAATTGAAACGTAAGAACAACTGTGAGGTATTGGAGATGGAAATACCCGCCGTTGATGCGCTGTTCGATCGGAAAATGCTAGGACTATCAACTGGGCGCATCTCCGGATAGGCAAGCAAAATGAGCATTTGAAAGCAAGAAGTTGGTGGAATAGATGGAACACAGTAAATCCTTGGAGGATGGAGGATAGAATCAGGCAATACAAACATATCTACTGCATGCATGACTTCTGAATCGCCTATTGAATGCCCCATCTCCGCGCCTCAACTGTCAAATTCACCCCTTACTTCCTGTATCCAGTACCATTGTCCTTCTCTTTTCCGCAGTCCAGTATTGCATAATATAA